CACGGACGTCCTTGAGGACAGGCAGGAGGAGTTCTAGTGTCTGGCCGCCGCTTCACCTCATCTCGCGTCTGTACTGCTCGCCCCTGAGGGAGACCCGGATGCACTAGACATCCCGACTCCGCGCTCTTACGCGGAGGCGATAGAGGGTCCCTACTCCTCTCAGTGGCAGGCAGCTATGGATGCAGAGATGGCTTCCTCGAAGTCCACAGGCACCCACGTTGACGCTGTTCCCCCTCCTGGGGCGAACATCGTCAGTGGCATGTGGATCTTCAGGGTGAAGCGGCCGCCGGGTTCTCCGCATGTCTTCAAGGCTCGTTACGTGCCTCGTGGCTTCAGTCAGCGACAGGGAGTTGACTACTTTCAGACCTTCTCCCCCACCCCGAAGATGACCACTCTTCGGGTACTGCTGCACGTTGCTGCTCACCGCGACTACGAGCTGCACTCTCTCGACTTCAGCACAGCTTTCTTGCAGGGCAGCCTGCACGAGGAGATCTGGCTGCGTCGCCCACTTGGCTTCACTGGGTCTTTCCCTCCTGGTACCCAGTGGAGTCTCCGGCGTCCAGTCTACGGTCTCCGCCAGGCGCCACGTGAGTGGCACGACACACTGAGGACTACGCTTGCGGCACTTGGGTTTGCTCCTTCTACTGCCGACGCGTCGCTGTTTCTGCGCACCGACACCTCTCTGCCGCCGTTCTACATCCTAGTGTACGTCGACGACTTGGTCTTTGCCACAGCGGACACTGCTGGACTCGCCTACGTGAAGTCCGAGCTGCAGAAGAGACACACGTGCACTGACCTGGGTGAACTGCGCAGCTACCTTGGCTTGCAGATCACCCGGGACAGAGCACAGCTCCTGAGCAGCGTGGACAGCTACGACTTGCGTACGTGGCCTCTGAGGCCAACACTGCTGATGTGTTCACCAAGGCACTTGCGCCTTGTGATCATCAGCGTTGCTGCACGCAGCTGGGTCTTGTGCCTGTCTTGCCTCACTTGCTCACTTCTTGACCTTGCTTGTACCTTGACCTATATATACTCTTGCTCTTGCTTGCTTGACTCTTGTATATCTCTATATATGATCTTGCATGCGAACTGGCCTTGAAGCCTTTAACCTTGCGCTCGGAATGTGTTGTGACTTTGTGATCCACCCTGAGCTTTGCTTTGCTTTGCTTGACTGGTCTTGTGACCCCTTGTTCTCCCCCACTTTGCCTATGGGGGTGTGTTAGAACATTATAGCTTACTTATTTGTGTAGGCTATAGTGGGGTATCCCATAGGGGGTACAACCCAATTCGGGTTTCATATTTGTACTCACTTCTTTCATAGTTCATTCATGCTCGTTCACTTCTTCTCACCATTGTTCTCCCCTACTTTGCCTATGGGGGTGTGTCAGAATATTATAGCTTACTTATTTGTGTAGGCTATAGTGGGGTATCCCATTGGGGGTACAACCTAACTAGGGTTTCCTATTCGACTCACTTCGTTCATAGTTCACTCATTCTCTCGTTCTTTTTTTCTCACCAACCAGTTTATGCAGTCCTCGTCAACCAGAATCGTACGATGCATGTTTTTCACCGTTGAGCATACTCCATCTTTTAACACCAATGGTGAGTGGTGGAATGGCAGACTTGTTATACTTGTTTAACACGACTTTCATTTCTCTGTTTGTGTAGATTATATTCAGTTTCTTATTAGAGGAGTTCATACATTTTAGCTGCGCGTTACGGTAGTAATTTTACTATGGTTGGGTAGATTGTGCGTGCGCAAGCCTTGTTATACAAACTATGTATAATGTATATTTAATTTGTGCTAAAAAACGCATACCAATAAGAGAGAAGCGCAAATCGAAACTGTCGCTGTTCCACTCGCCAGCCAATAAAATTTCGATATCGTATTCCATAAACTCTTGTCTGATTGGTCCACGTGGCTAGTTTTCGTTCGTCGTTATGAATCCGATCCGACGGTTATCATTAGTGTATAGTGTCAGCCACGTCAGCATGTTTCAGTTTCATCTCGAGTACGTTGTATGCCACGTGGCGTACTCGTGACACTTTTGCAGTGGTTGCTCAGAAGTGACTTTCCGCAACTTTGAGGTTGATTTACCGCATACCGGGTTAGTTGCGAACTGGTATGCAGTTTGTGACAGTAAGGTGACGGAAAAGTTGCTTCGCAAGTCACTTCAGCACCTACGATTTTGAACCTTGACTTTTTTCTTGCGTTTTTCAAGTAACCCTTGAGTTGCGGTTTTGTTACTTTCAAGTTGCTTTTCGCACTTCCCTTTTCCCACCCGGGGTGGTTGAGAAAGGCAGTCGGGCGATTAGGAACGGTTGCGAAATGTGGGAGAAAGCTTGTGACTAAGGGCTGCTTCAGTAGTTTTAGATTGTGAGATTGAGATTGCGGCTAACCCTTGACTAAATACTTTCTAGTCATCACAAAAACCAGGTCCTAATATCAGCTGGTTTTCAGCCTGAGTTCAGGACCCATGGCTGAAATCAGACTGAAAAATAGGGCCTTTTTTAGTCTGAAACCAAGGTAGTGGCTTGACTGTAATTTGTGTGCTTTTCACGCGCTTCTTCGCTCCTTTTCAGGGCTTCATCACCTGCTGAGTTCCGAATGTTTTCTGGGCGGTTTTTGCCTGATTTCGAACTTCGAACGCGCTTCGAGAATTCTATTCTGAGAGGATTAAATTGAATACTAGACTTAGTACACTGTATCTTCATAATCTTAAGTACACCAGACCATGTTGTATATTACGTTTTCATAAATGGTATTGGAATCAGTTAATTATAAACTAGTCTGTTCCTGTAAAATCATTTTCTTAATTCCTTTTACTAGGCATGTTTAATTTGAGGCATGTTTTACTTTATGGATAAATACAAACATGCATTACAAACTAGGACAGCTTGCATTAAATTGCGTACAATACGCATCACAAGTACCACATCAGCAAATCATATTAACTTCAAGATACGCATACCTGCCTGGTACTAATGCAACGACACGAATGCTGTGACTCAGAGCACAAGAGCACTAACAGGGATAAGTTGTTAGTATTGACAAAACACAAGGCCTGCAGATGGGGTGCACAACGTACCTGGTCATGGCGGGGAGTAATTCATATAGCAAGCCCATAAATATGACGAGGAAATGCACTCAAACCGCTACGAATCTCAGCGGCAAATGTCGATCTAGACAGAACTTAGATTTGACGTTAGTTTAACAGAATGTCACAAACTCGTTAATGACAGGGCTTGCAAAGAACGTGCTTACACCGTCGGCCATACACTTCTTTGTATCGACATGAAGTGCTGTGAAACAGAAAAAAAAAAAAAAAAAAAAAAAAAAAACCTCTGAACTTTAAGATCAAGTCACAAACTGAAACGCGCGGTTGCGATAGCACAGGAAAATTAGCTGTGCTTCAGCGCGTAGCAAATAAGGTGCTTTACTACAGCACCGGTAGGTATATCGCTAGGTTGGATGAGGGAAACTACTGAAACATGGTTACGGGAAGTGAATGAGTGGAAGACTGAGAGGAAGTCGGGAAGGCTAACACGTAGGAAAACTAGGTGGTCACGAACTGAGGAGGGAGGAGAAACAGAAGCTCGAGTTAGGAGAGGTGGGAGCAGGCCTGTCGATTCAAGGGCATATGCCCTTAATGCCCTGAACATTAAGGGCTAGTTTCGCTCCAGCTCCAATGCGGCAAGTTGAGAATTCGTACCCCACCCGTCCCACTAAGTGCTTCGTTCGACCCTTCCCCGGATGCGTTAAGGGACGAAACCAGGCCTTCCCCCCTATCTAAGTTTTGGTTTCCGCTCGTAGGACCCCCCCCCACCCAGAGTGCCCAAGACCCCCCCCCCCCCCCCCCCCCCCCCCCCCCCCTTTCTCCTTAGCCTGCACTAGAGCGCGCCAAGGGGATTTTTCCCTTAGCATTTTCTAGCCAATCTCGTGTGTGTGTGTAGTGTGTCTCAGTCAACCTTGGAGCACCCGAACATTCCCTTAGCGTCCAATACGAGCTGGCCGCAGTTTACAGCTGTGACACATAGGATTAGGTTTAGTGAATCCGGCTAAGTTTTTCAGCCACAGAGAACTCCAAAGCACCTCAAAGGAAGTGCAGCACTCCAGCGTAGGAGCTCTCTCACCACCTTTGTTTGTGCGTGCCACCATTCCTCTCCACCACCATGCATTCCATACACCACCACCCACCCACCCACCCAACCTCCCACTCCTCTCCTCTTTTGTTCGTGCCATGTTTTCTCTTCTCCACCGTCTGACCACCTCCACGATACCGCCCACCCAAGCTCTCTGCTCTCCACCTTCGTTCGTGCCGTGCTATGGCACTTCACCTCCACCCACCAACTCTGCCGAGTTTAGCTCGCGTCGCCTCGTTCACACACGCGAGGTTTATATATTGGCTAGCTAGCCCGTTCCCTTCGTCAGCCACATTCTCCCACCATGGACCATAGCGAGGGTGAAACCCCTCCTCTAGTTATGCCCACCACGAACTTCTCTTATTCGCATACTACAACCGAGACCGAGCCCTACGTAGCCACGGATGCTGAAGACATGCTAGACGTAGCAATCTCAGTCTTGGACTCGTGCCTCGCCGAGCAAGCCTCATCGTCACAGTGTACTCCGAGGTCTGCAGCCTGTTATCGTCAGGTTCACCTAAGCTTCGCTAGTCCGCCACCAGACACGCGAAAGCGCGCACGATGCGTACCGCCACCACCCACTGCTGAGGACTTGGAGGCACAAGACAACGCGATTGCAGAGGATGCAGAAGTACCCCCGGACACCGAGATCCCTGAGGCCGAGAGGTGTCTTGCACGTCGCTTCAGCACGTCGTGGAAGCAGACGTACTCGTGGCTGAGCTTGAAGTACAACAAACATGAGCGCCAGTATGGTATGAAGTGTTCCGTCTGCTGTAAGTTTGCTCCTAACACCAAGTCTCCCTTTGGCGGTGCTGGAGTCGGTGCAAGGGATTTTCAGAAGTCGTCGTGCCGCAACCATGACCAGTCCAAGGTGCACCTCGCGGCCATGGAAGCTGAACGACTCTCTGAAGGCACGGAGGTGAGGCAGCACAGCCTCTTGAATATGCTCAGCAGCGATCCTGTCATGGCGAGGGTCGTCAAATGCATGCAAGGAGCTCACTGGATTGCGCGGAACGATGCACCTATCGCGCTCTACCCCATGCTGGTGCGGTTCATGGCGGAGCAAGGATGCCCCGACATGATGACCGACGAATCGTACGGTCGTTATTACTCACGGTACATCCTTGTTAGCCTCAGTTTCTGCTCCTGATTTCCTGCTTTTGCTTCTGTTTGTATGTTTCTGCTTTGTTCTACTTTTGCTGTTCTATTGTGGATAACTTACTCACATTTTCATTCGGTGCTCATTGCAGATACGCCTTCGGCGAGTTCGTAGAGGCTATGGCAGAGCATCTGATGGCCAAGCAGCTCGAGGACATCAGAGAGTCGGCCTGGTACAGCCTCTCCTTTGATGAATCCACCGATCGCGCGCGTGGAAAGCATCTCATCGTGTATGTCACGTTTGAGAGAGCCGAGGCCGTGGTGTCCCAGTTTCTTGCTCTCCTGTCGCTCGAACGTTGCGACGCCGCAGCACTGCACGACACGATCGTGAAGTGTTTGTGGTCGAAGGACATGTCGCTGGACAAGCTTGTCGGGGTGTCAACGGATGGTGCATCCGTGATGACTGGCGCGAAGAACGGCGTTGTCGCCATGCTTCGGAAACGTTGCCCGTGGCTGGTGGCGATTCACTGCGTGGCGCATCGGTAAGGTTGCACTCCATTGTTTATTTTCATATTGTACACCTATCCCCTCCCCAACCATACTCACGCACGTCTCGTGCTTGTGCAGCGAGGCATTGGCTGCCAAGGATGCCGCGAAGAGCTTCAAGGAGTTCAACATCGTAGATAATATGATACGCCAGACTGCAGAGCGTCTCGGGCGTTCATCGACCGATCACAAGACCTACATGCATCTCCAAGACGTCATTCTGCAGACGTACCTGGAGGTGCAAGGCTTCTGCACCGTCCGTTGGTTGTCTCGCGGGGATGCTGTGAGTCGCTTCTGTGACGTGCTGCCGGTGCTGATGTGGATGTGGACGAAGGAGAAGGGCGAGACAGAGAAACTCGCTACCAGCTTCAAGTTCCACTACATGCTGTATCTCCTGGCTGACGTGCTGGCGCTGCTCAACGGACTCAATCTGTCCTTCCAGAAGCAGACGGTAAGGTGCAGATGAGCATGGCGTTGTCGCTTCTTGACTTGTCTGCTTTGCTCTAATTTTTTCGCGCTCTCTTTGCTTTCAGGTCGACATTACAGAGGTGAAGAACCATGTCGACAAGGTGAAGACCAAGCTGTCGCAGTACTACGTCGAGCCCGGCGCATCCAACGGGCCGAACACCTCTCGCCTGAACAAGTTCCTTGCTGCACACGGCAGCAAGGACAAGCGCAAGATGGAGCTCAAGGGAGTGGACGAGAACGGCAAGCATGCAAAAGCCGAGATCGAGCTTCACGAGGACATCATCGACCCTGAAAACCCTGGGGGGGGATGCGACTTGAAGGTCTGCGTGGACCTGGCAAGGCGTTTCGCTCAGCGCGTGATTAAGGCGCTGGGGAAGAGGATGGCGGATCTGCGTCATTTCGATGGTGTTGGTTTTTTCTCCCCTGATAAGTATCCCGACCGTGCAGGAGAGCAGGACGCGTGGGTGAAGCTCCATCTCTCCGAGCTCCTTGACATGTTCAATAACAAGCTACCTGGTAAGACGAGAGGGGTAGAGTAGGAACCTTAACAAGGTTATAACCTTGTTTATGTTCTAACCTTGAATATGGGTTTCTCCAACATTGGCATGTTCTTACCTTGTTGTATATGTCCTTGGCAGGAGTCGCTCTTGCTGACATAGAGCCGCAGATGCGCCTCTTCACAGCCACCATGGAGAAGAAGTTCAAGAAGCAGAGCTTCCATCAGGCTCTCACCAACATGCTGCGCACGGCAGACTGGAAGGATGACTATCCCACCATAGTCTCCCTCTAGCGTGCAGTCTCTGTGTTGCCCCTCAGCACTGTTGAGTGTGAGAGGGGCTTCTCCCGCCAAAACATTATTAAGTCGTGGGATCGTGTTGCTCTTACTGACGTTAGGCTGGGGGAGCTGATGACGGTGAAGATGCTAGACTACCCAGTGGACTGGGCAGCAGCCTATGCCTTGGTTGAGGAGAAGGGGAGGAAGGGGAGGAAGCCTGCCAAATAGGCTTGCATTGCATGTTTGTGTAGAGTAGGGTAGTTAAATCTGCATGCTAAATCTGTAGTTAGTGAAAAGTAGAACATTGCAGACAAGGTAGGTTTTATGACTATTGAAGACATGTGCAGTATTAGGTATGACTGACATCTAATATAAGTAGAAAACTGCATGTATCACAGTAAAATACAGTGTAAGTGCAAACTTCAAATATGCCCGGATTTCAAGTTTTCACTTTGGGGTGCGCCCGTGACCGTTAAGGGCGCCAAAACGCACACCTACACCCAACCAAGGGTCAGATGCGGAGGAGCTGGGGAGCGCAAGTACGAGCCCCAGAAACTTCGACAGGCCTGGGTGGGAGGGCAGTGTTAGGTGGGATGGAGGGAACGAGACGGTTATGGCAACTTTGCCTCTCATTGGTCGAGCACCCGCAACTGCCAGATGCCTGAGGTGTCAAAAGCTGTCGTTGGTGCATCGCCACACAATCGTGCCACCCTAAAAACTTCAACGCTGAACGAAAACGGGAAGGGTGGAAAAGTCTGGCGAAATGTGCTAAAACACGTCAGCGATTCCGTCGATTGGCTCGGCGGAGGCGAGGAGATTGCCAGCTCGGGAGCACACTCGGCCTCATCTACAAGTTCGCACGTCACATTGTTGCGAAACACGTGACTGGATTTCTGCATTTAGCCATAAAAACGAACTGGCGACGAAAAAAACAAAAACAGCAAGCTGCATGAGGTCGCACGCGATTGGCTAGGAGCGACAGCGTTGCGACGCGAGATCATTTGGGTGTGGTGATACTCGCCAAGTTGCTGCTTGTGGTCGCACGAGATTGGCTAGGCAGTTGTAGCAACACCAACAAGCACTCAGCAGAACAAGGAGCATAAAACAAAACTCACCTGTTGAACCGTTTTGATAGCTGTCGAACTGGGGGAACATCAGCATACACTCATTCTTCCATTTTAAATAATTATTAAATTGTAAATATCTGACACATATTGTCAAAATGGAAGAAATAGATTGGCAGAGTACTGTAACATCTATTTTTATCATTAAACAATATTTTGATGTTCACATTACCCTAAAATATATGAATGAGTTACCAAACACTCAAACTTGGTTGGTTTATGGCTTGAAATACAGCCACATTTCAAAGTCGTTGGTTGCTCATATCATGCATTATTTTGGTTTTGGTCGATATTAAAGGGGTTCTCCTGCCTCCCTCACACCTGCACAATAAACCTGCAAAACAATGATTGATTTGCAAACTTTCAAAAAATGCACCATTTCAGGATATACCAATTAAGCTTCTAACAACGTTAATCTCATTCTCTGGCTACCACTGACATCTGCTGCCACTTTCAAAAATGTTTTTTCTTTTCATTTGAATGGTGTGCTCCCTCTGTGACCTAGTAAGGAGGCATGCTGACGACACATTTGTTTGTTGTCCGGCAGGCAAATTTGATAGCTTGACAATATTTTGGTTTTGCGTGTTTTTTAACGAACCAAGTTCTACTGGTCCAAATGCTCTGATTATTGTGTGAGATTTTCATTTCAAATGTTGCAATATAGTAAATGTATGAATGGTAAAGAGAAACCTTGCTTTAAATTACAAACGGACGTCAAAACGGCACCACAAGTCGCAGAGGCCTATCATTGCACAGTTTTCCCTGCTCAATTGTTTGAAACCATCATATCTTCCTACCACATGTTGCGAATGGCACCAACTCTATGTAGCATGCTTGCAATATAGTTACTGCTTGATTGATCAAGAGAAACCATGTCTAAAATGACAAACAAATATCGATACAGCAACACGTTGCGCACAGGTTTGTCCTTGCGCAGCTTCCTCGTCTCACATGTTTGAAACACAACAGATTCCTTCCAGATGCTATGAATGGTACCAAATCCGTCTACATGCTCGCAATATAGTAAACGTTTGAATGATCAGGAGAAACCTTGTTGAAAATAACAAACGGACCTCGATACAGCACCATGTTGCGTATAGACCTATTCTTGCACATTGTTCGCTGCTAAATTGTTTGAATCACCATATCATTCGACCACGTGCTGCGAATGGTACCTGGTCGCCCGTAGGACTCCATTTGCACTAGCAGAAACTGGGGTGCCTGTTATTCTCATTCGTCACATGTGTTGGGTGCAAATTCACATTGCACGACATCCTGCCGTCTGTTTGTACGAGTATGCGTGTGCGAATGCATTTGGGTATGAATGGAATGTTCGTGTGTTTGTTTGCTTTCGCAATTTTCGCTTAAAGCATTTGCAGGTACTCACGCTTTGCGGTTCGGCTTACTTGATTGCGGAGATTCAGTTCTATCCAACTCGAAATTGTACTGTTTTGTTTGGTTGACTATAGTGTAGCAGGGCAGGTACTATGTTGGAATAACTGAACAGGAATGGATGAACTAATAGTGAAATGAGTACAAGTACCTAACCCTAGAATTGTGTACCCCCTATAGGCTAACCCACTGTAGCCTAAACAACCACAACATATGTATATTGTTTGACACACCCCCATAGGCGAAGTGGGGGAGAACTAGGGGTCACAAGACCAGTCAAGGCAAAGCAAAGCAAAACAAGCTCAGGGTGGATCTCAAGGATACCACACAAATTCCGAGCACAAGCAGGTGGTCACAAGACCAGTTCACATGCAGGTTTATAATAGAGCAAAAGGTACAAGGATCACAACCTAGCAAGAGTAAACATGCAGGTATATATATATAGAGATCACTGTACAAACAGACTCAAGAAGTAAGCAAGTGAGGTCCAGTAGGCACAAGGCCTAGAAGAGTGCAAAAGCGCTGATGGTCACAAGGCTGAAGCGCCTTGGTGAACACATCAGCAGTGTTGGCCTCAGAGGCCACGTAACGCAGGCGAAGCTGACCACGCTGCTGCAGCTCTCGACCAAGGAAGTACCGCAGAGCAATGTGATTCGTTCTGTGCTCCAGTCTGTGCTCCTCACACAAGGCAATGGCTGCCTTGTTGTCGACGTACAGCACTGGAGGAGATCGAGGCTGCTCTCCAAGGTCGGTCAGCAAGTAGGTGAGCCAGCGTAGCTCCTGGGCCGCCATGGCTGTGGCGTAGATCTCAGCCTCACAACTGGAGCTGAGAACAGAAGAAGAGCGAGTAGAACGCCAAGAAACAGAACCAGAGCCAAGACTGAAGGAGTAGCCCTGAGACGACCGCTGAGTAGCCTGGTCGTCTGCCCAAGAAGCGTCTGAGTGCCCACTGAGAACAACTGGGACTCGCCCTCCAAGCACTAGCCCCATGCCCGACGTACTGCACAAGTAGCGCAACACCCTCTTAGCTGCATCCATGTGCTCCTTCCGGTGACGGCCGGGAGCGACATAGCGTGCAAGAATGCTGAGAGGGTATGCAAGGTCAGGTCGAGTGCAGGTCATCAGGTACATGAGGCAACCCACAAGCTCTGGATAGCGACTATGCTAGTCTTGGCTGCAAGTAGTTCCTTCTCGAGGAGGGCAATGGTGAGCTCAGTGGGGCAGCGAGCTAGGAAGTGGTCCCTGACAGCACGCAGTGTGTCAGGGAGGCGGGTGACTAGGTGGTAGAGAGTGAGCCAGAGTGGACGGGGGTGCGTGACAACGAACTCAGCAGGCATGGCGGCACGGAAGCGGGCCTCACTAGTACGGAGGTGTGTGATGAGGTCAGCAACTGTGTGAAAAGAGGCCAGGTGGGGAAACAGGTAGGGGAGGGAGAGACGGCCTAGGGCGGCAGAGGCAGGTGAGGAGTAGCGAGCAACTACAGCTGTGTACAGTGCCTGTGCAGTCTTGTGCTGGCCAAAGTGTTCGCGTTCGCCTATCGGCAGGGAGTTGGGAATTGCGAAGCGAGCGTGGGCATCACGAGTCTGCCACTGTGAGCGAGCAGTGCTGTCAGCAGTAGCAGCAGAGGCAGTGACATGGCCGAGGGCGTGATCGTACAGTGAGATGTCATCCTTGGCTGTGAGCTGTAGGTAGAGGTGCAGGTCATCGAGCCAGGTGTCAAACTTCACAGGGCGGCCCTCTGCATCGAACAGGAGAACCTGTGGGCTAGCCATAGGAACAGCAGAAATAGCAGTAGTAGCAGTAAGAGAAGCAGTTAGGACGGATCAGTTAGGGCAGGGCGGCGCGGCTCGGTTCGGGTCGGGTCGCGCGGTTCGGCTCGCGGCGCGCGGCTCGGCTCGGAGCGCGCGGCTCGGGTCGCGCGGCTCGGTTCGGTCGCGGGCTGTGGCGAGAACAGGTCGCTCGGGGCCTCTAGGGACAGTCGGCACGGGGCCGGTTGGGGTCTCTAAAGACGGCGGGCGCGGGGTCGGCGGGGCTGTTTGGGGCCCTAGAGAGGCGAGCGCGAGGCCGATCAGGGCCTGAACGGGGCTAGCGCGGGGCCGACGGGGCCTGATCGGGGCTAGCGCGAGGCCGACGGGGCCTGAACGGGGCCGATGGGGTCTCTAGAGACAGCTGGCGTGGGGCCGACGGGGCCAGAACGGGGCTAGTGCGGGGCCAACGGGGCCTGAACGGGGCTAGCGCGGGGCCGTCG